AATTTAAAACAACACTCATCCCTAATAATCTCATTCTAGTCGGGGCTGCACCTCAACAGTGAGGTCAACAGCCCCAGGCCTGCCGGAATAGCCAGTTTTTTTACGGCTTTCCTGAAGGCCATCAAAGTGGGTATGGTCCGGATTTCCGGGGGGAGCTGGTTACCAAATAAGAAGAAACCTGATGGGTCAGGTCATAGATTCCATCTAGTCCTGCATTCATTGTTGGAATTGAACGGAAGATTTGGAAAGCTCGCACATTTGAAGCCTTGAGTAGAATGAAAAGTCTCTCTCTCCCCCCCCCATTTCCCTCCTTTCTCCCTCCCTCTCCAGGTGTAGGAAAAAAGTGGTAGAATGTATATGGTACAAGTTGTTAGTGAAAGAAGATTTTGTAGGGGGGGCATCAACAGTGATTGATCTTCAGAGCTTTTCACCCCAAAAGATGCTTACTCACGGCTGAGATAGGACCATGAAGACAATACAAGAAAGAGGGCATCCACCTCCCTCCTCTTACCTGTTTTGCTCATAAGATGGACTGCAAACTCCACATCTCGCTGGTTCTGACGAGGGATCCAGATGATGGTGGTGAAGTTTTCTCCTGTCTCGCCCACACTGATGTTTACAAAAGACAAATTCACTGGGCATAGAGGCAGGGAGAAAATGAGAGAGAAAAGTATTAAAATCACAATATCTGGAGAATCTACACAGGTCCCACCCTTGCAGGCTTCAGGGCGAACAGCAAGGTCATTAAGACCTCAGAAAAAACTACCAGATTAACTATATTTCCACTGTGGGAATTGGGACATACTCGTCCAATTTCTGTGGCAGCAACATAAAACTAGTTTGCCAATGCAGTCCGTGGCCTAGCAGGTTCTGTGGTAGTTCCTCATTCATACCTGCCTTTGCTTAATTTCCCAGCCCAGACAAAATCAGGCATTTGGGGGAGAAGGGTGGGTGGGAAATCCCTGGAAAAGAACTTTTAAAAAGTAAAGGGAGAAAAAAAAGTAAAACTGAGATCAAAGAAAGGATTCCCACCCTGAATGGTCCCTGTGAATATTAAGGTTTTTAGCTAAAAATTCCGCGTTTTTACATTGTGTGTGTCTAATGGTTACTCTCTCCATAAGCTCTGGTTACGTTGCCAACACAACCTGATACACGGCTGCTGTAGTTTCCTGTTTTCAAATTGCTTTACACATGCGGGACCATCCACTATGACATCTGATACTTCCGTATCGCTGAGTAGATACAGACATACATATGTTCATATCATGTCATTTACTTTTGGGTGAGCACAATAAAGGAAAAGGAAATAGTTAGATAAAGCAATGAGAAGGTGAGATAAGGGGAAAATGTTAGGAGACATAGCACTCAAACCATTCAACGCATTTCTCCATATTTTTATATCAAGCTAAACCAAGCATTCTTTCTACAGTGTCCATACACTGCTTCCTACATTGCCCCTTCTGTAATGTCCCTCTCTCTTTTTCAAGAGCTTAATAACTCATACAACCACGATTTTTAGGGGCTCTTCTTCTACACCACTTCATCTTCCTAGATGATGTTGTACAGTTCAACACTCATTCCCTCTGTATGACCAAACCACCTGAAAGACTATACTGTCATTTTATTTTGAATTCAATCCACATTCATTCAGCACTCATTCATTCTCAGCCCTACCTCTTCTTATTTGACCACACGCACTTGTGGCATGACAAAACCGCGAAGCCCTTATCCGCGGAGACATAAGCGTGTCGCTAAAGCCGCGACGTTATCACCGCGCGTCATCGCCGCCGCGACAACAGCGCGGCAAC